TATTACTATTATTATTATTACTATTATTAATTATTATTTACTATTATTTAGAAAATGAAATGGAATGAATTTTTAATTAATTATGTAATCAAAGTTAATTCCAAATAAAATAAATAATTTTTTTTTTGGAACGAAATAAGAATAAAAAAAAAATTCTGGAGTCACAGGGAAAAGAGGGAAAACGTGAAGGGGAAAATGGAAAAAGTGAAAATAAAAAATAAAAAAAAATTTTTTTCTTTTTTTTTTTTACGAGTTTTAAATTGATAGTCAACACCTTTTGGGGTTTTTTTTTTATTCCTTTTCCCAAATCTTTTATTTTATTTACTGGAAAAAATTATTTTTCCATGACATTTAAATTTCTTTCTATTTTTTTTGTAAATATATAAAAATCAATTCGAAAATAATAATTTTCATATAAGCTCAATATAAACTTTCAAGGTTTTTTTCTTCCCCATTTACAATAATAATAATAATAATTATTATTATTATTATTATTACCGTTTTTCACTTCTACAATCGAGTTTTATGTTCTTTTTTTGGGGAGTTTTCGCCAAAATTCATTTCAGGTGGTTTACTACATTCGATTTTTTTGAAATAAAATACTTTAATGTCGGTTTATACCCAAACTTTTCTGACACACCACATCAATTATTTGTAAACCCTTTTGAGTCCATCTTATTTTTATGGAAACAAATCATACCCTTAACTAAGCTTTTGTAACTGATAATTTTGAAGTGTCCAGAATCAGGAGGAGTGTAAAAATCACATCCTCTTTAACTTGTCTAAGGTTTACAACAGTACAAGAAATATTCTGATTCCATCTTTGCCTTTATAAACCTTTCTGAGTCCATCTTATTTTTATGGAAACAAGTCATACCCTTAAATGGGCTTCTGTAACTTTAATTTTGAAGTGTCCAGAATCAGGAGGAGTGTAAAAATCACATCCTCTTTATGTTGTCTATGGTTTACAACAGTACATGACATATTCTGGTTCCATCTTTGTCTTTCTGTCACAATTATTAACCTAACAATGCCATTTCAGTTTACATCTAATACTAACAATTCATTACAACTAAAATCAATTAATATAGAACCTAATAATATTTTCTGTTGTTTATTCAGATTATGTAATAACACAACACTATGAGAATGATAAGGTTTGATGTAATAAAACAAAATAATCCAAGAAATTATATTATAAAAGACAACAAAGTACATCCCACAAACAAAACATAATACCACACAGAAATTTCATATCTAATTGTTATATAATAAAATTTTTATGTATCACTCATAGTACTTGTCTGATACAAACAATAAATAAAAACATTTTGTTTAAACTAATTATAAATAACCCAAAAAAAAGCAAAATTTCATTATTAGAATATGACAATCAATCATAAAATTTCTTCTATTCCATTGTAAGTTTAACGTTTTTTTCCCCAACAGGGAAATGTAAATTATAAAATGAAAACACTACTTACCTATTGTAAACATACGTACGGAGACATCATCTAAGGAATTTTACAAGAACCCACGCTTTCTTTTGTCAAATAAAACCGTTAACCTATCATCAGACATAAACTCAACATTTTAAAATTACTTAAATTCTATCGAATTTTATTTAAAAATTATTTATATCAACGTAAACTACGTGAAATAACAAAAAATTTAATACCTAAGCCACAAATAATTACTTAAAATAACTCAATTAATAAAATTAATTAAATAAATCGATTAAACGTGTGCACTTGTCACTGTTTTCCAAATCCGCGCATGCGCACTTATTAGTAATTTTGGCGGTCAGTATTATATTTTTCAATTGGATAAAATTTCTTTATTTTTTAAAAAATCCTTCTCGAAAATAACAAAAAAAAAGGCGGGATAAGGGGGACAGGATAGAAAGGGGGAAAAGGAAATTCCACGTTTTAAAACATCAGGCCACTATTTTAAAAGAACATAAATCTTTTTATTCCAGTACATGCATCATCATGATACGCTGGAGAAAAAAAAAAAAAACTACATGTTCTAACACGGTATGGAAAGAGAGAGAGAGATTTCTGTATAAATTCGATGACATTTTTATTTCACATATTTGATTCGAATAAAAAATTGAAAGTATTCATTCATTCACTCATTCCCTCACTCTCCTTCCCATTCATTCATTCATTCATTCTCTGAGATACAAACCGAAATCATGTACTTACGATTATATTAAATTTATACAAAACCATGAATATGAATGAGAACTAAAATACATTTTTTTTTTTTTTGTTACGAATGAATCACATTTAAAAGTGCGTGTGTGTGTGCGTGCGTGTGCGTATGTGGAATAGTGTGGAAAGAAATCCGTTTGGAAAAACCAAACGTTACTCCATAGAAATTTTTTAAAAAAGACACAGATGGCAATATAATAAAATTTTACATTATAACTCAAAAAAAAAAACGAAATTTTCTATTTTGTTTTTTTTTTTTTTTTGGTAAATTTATGATAAAACGAGAGAGAGAAAAACGAATAAAGATATTAAAGAAATTCGAAAAACGGAAATAAAAAGGAAAGAGAGAGAGAGAGCAAGGGTAAGGAAAGAAAACAAATGTGAAAGAAAATAAAGAAAGTGAGTGAGAGAGAGATAGGAAAAAGATTTGAAAGAAATGCAAACGATTCAAAAAAAAGGAAAAGGGAAAAGGGAAAAAAGGTAAAACAAGACAAAAAAAATAACATATCTTTATAAAAGAAAAATGGTTGAAACGTAACATAATGAACGTGAAACATTAAAAAGCACACACACCCGTACAAACACAGAGAGAGAGAGAGAGAGAGAGAGAGGCAAACAACAGACGCGCAAAAAGTTGAATTGCCTTACCGGAAAATGAAAAACACTGAATGGGAAATAGAATAAGAAAAATAAAAATCAGATTTTATATATCAGGCTGACATTGCTATTCTCTCCAGAGAATAACAAACTAAATAAAATTTTTCTCATAATATATATGTATATATATCTACGCAGTGATAATTTTCCATTCAAAACAAGTTCATTTCACTAACTATCTCTATCTCTCTCTCACTCTCTCTCTTACTCTTTATCACTTTCCCCCCCCCCCCAAGCCCGATTCGTGGTTGCCATGTTTTTAATTTATTTTAATTAGTTTAATAAAATTATTTTTATTTATTTTTTTTATTTTTAAATAAATTATTTTTTCAACGTCCTTTTACGTTAATAATAATAATGATGATATTAATATATTTTTCCGTGAACTTTATAACCCTAATAATAATAATAATAATAGTCGAGTATCTTGAGGTACTCGAGACGTTACACAACACAGATAAAAATTTACAAATAAATAAATAAGTGTAATTAATAATGGAAAGTTTATTATTATTCAATTTATACTAATAACGTATTACAAAATAATAATAATAATAATAATAATAATAATAATGATAATAGGTAAGGGCATCGAAAGTTCAGGGTTTTATTTGAGGTAATTATGGTATAAAAAAAAAAAATATTCGAAAACGACCTTAATAATTATTAAAAACTACTCATGAATGAGGTCTCACGTTTCCTTTTTTTTAATTTTCCTTTTACGATTATTTTTATTACTAATTTTCACTAAAGAAAAATAATTTTTCCTTTTTCTTTACATTTTCCATTAATGAAAATTTATATCTTTTCACTTTAGACAAATTTTACAAAAAGGATGAAAATTTATAATTAATCATTTTTTTATTACTTTTGTGCCTCATTCATTATTATTATTATTATTATTATTAATACATAAAAAAAGAAAAACTTAAAAGACTTATATGTATATGTACATAGAAAAATAATAATAATAATACACAACAGAAATTGTTTTTTAAAATAATAATAATAATAATAATAAAAACGTCAAAATATACAAATTGAAATATATATATATATATATATATAAATATGTTACATAATGAAAATATTTAAATCGATTTAATCAATCAATCAATCAATCAATCATTATTTTAATCGATATTTACGATTTTTTCATAGAGTTCCTACAGTTTTTTTTTTTCCATGTCGTTCATAACAACACGAACAAACAAACAAACAAAAACATGCGCGTGTACCACGCATATAAAAATAATAATAATAATAATAATGAATTTTTTTTTTTTTTTTTATTAACATTAATATAAAATGACGACAACAAATGGGGGGGAGAGGGGGAAAAAAGAAAACACGAGTGGGGGGCTTTACAATTACGGTTCCCAATTCCACAAAAAAAAAAAAAAAAAATTTAAAA